CATCCTTCACTTGTCTTGATTCCTCATACTTGTCTGGCTTAAAATCTTTGTCCTTGTCAGGTTTGAGCTTATCGTTCTTAGCAGGGACAGATTTCACATTTTCCACAGCATTGGGCAATCTATCCTCTTCTGTGTTTGCGATAATCTTGGCATCCTCAATGTTCTTAACAAGCTGCATAAAAGAGAGGGTACTTTACTATTGGATCAGGTCAATAGGGGGAAGATTCTACAATATGATCAGAGATATTCTATAAAGAAAAACAGTCCATGAGTTCAGACTGTGGAATGGGAGTTTAACTACCACTTATTCTGAAGTTATAATTAAAAATTTCATATAGTTTCACAAACATGAACAAAAACTAGAGAAGGGAGGTGAACATGTGAAATAGAGCTGCATGTCGCGCAACCAATAGCACAATGTTAAATAGTGAAACAATTAACAAGGAATTTTCATCAAACGTATATGGCAGACAAGCAGTGAAATCGTCCTGAACCTGAATGTTGGCACTTGGTATCAATCACATAATGCTAGAGCAAAAATCATGTTACAATCTCTCACCGTCTGTGAAGGGGGTAAATTTTCAACTCTGCTCTGCAATTTGTCTTTCGGTACTGAAGTGTCATTAGTTGGTTCATGCTTCAAAATTCCATTAACAGGCAGCAACATGGGAGAATGGGGTGGGCAAGTGAGAACAACCCTAAGCTTGGTCTCTTCAATATATTTATCACCGTCTTTTGCAAACTGCCACAATAAGAATATTATTAAAATACTTAGGGCAATCCACAGAAACTATTCCGAAATTAGTTGTGAAACACAAGATAAATGGCAGATATTTATTGAAAAAGCACTTTTAGAGCAATCGTACCATGCCAGATGTAAGTTGCTCTTCTGTTGTGCCATATGGAACAATCGTATGCTGAATCAGGAATTTATCCTTGCATTGCATATCATCAGGAGCAGATTTTTGTGCTTGCATGGTAACTACATCACCAAGAAGGTAAATGTTAGGAAAGTCTTTAAAATCCTAAGGATCATACCACAAATAGTCAAAGAACATGATACATGTGATTAATGATGATAATGCATCGCAAAATAATAGATAAAAATCAGCTTTTGAAAATTATTTTCCAAGTGTCGTAAAGACACTACATTAAACATAATTATTTACTGAGACATAAGTCATAACGTGAAATTGGAAAGTATACAACAAGGTAACACTTGATACCAGTAAAATCACATGTTAAATTTGGCTTGATTATGCCTACATTAGGGCGCACGCAATACTTCTTGGGTGACGTAGTCTTCACCTGCCAAATAAATTATATTAGCCAATTCAACAGTCTCTCTAAAGAGCGGAGATCAAGTTAAATTCACTTAGTTACTTTATAAATTTCTGTAAACGAAAGAAGGAAAGTTTTCTGATCGGGCTATCATACAACTAGACAGACTTTAAATCCTTTTCGGAGAGATTTCATCATGATAGTGTACAACAAGATCGAAGTTACTTACCTTGAAAGCTACATATTGATCACAGAGATTGGTAAGGTGAACAGAGCACGTACTCTGTTTCTTAACCTCAACTAAAGAAGGAGAAGGGAAATGTGAGACTTGCTTGCAGATATAAATTAAACAGATTACAATGATTAATCATTTAAACAGCACATATTTTACATAGTTATTACATTCATTAATCATTTAAACAATGTGAATATGTGATGAAATTGATGAAGAGAGGAAGCAAAAGTAGATA